ATTGGTTACATTGGTAAGCCAAGTTCCTTGAGCATTAACCTGAACAATCGTGGTCGAATAAGGTAGTAATCAGATATCGATTGTTTACTAGTAAACAAATAGAATTGAGACCAGAAAAAAAACATTCAAGGCAACTAGATGCATCAATCCAAAACTATACCTGAGCTTCAATAAGTTCATGTTTGCCAAGCAAATCCTCTACTCCTAATAGATGTTTGCCTACATCACGATTACGAACGACTGGCTAAACGGAGAGCAATTAAGTGGTTCATCACTGTACTGCACACATAATTACCTTATTGGCTCTACAGTACTCACCTCTAGATGCTTGAGTTCACTAGCTAGGGTGTCAATGTCTCTTAGCAGGGTCATAAGGTCGTTTAATCCCATCAGAGCTTTGCGACGCTGTTCCAGTAAGCTTAGTAAGTGCGTCCATCTGAATGAAAACATGAGATGAGGGAGTAAAGCACTACATCACATTAAAATTATAAAAATTACATCGAATAACAAATAACTGACTAAACTCATGCCAATCTATCACACTTCTAACCAGATCTAACCCACAGTAACAACCGACCAAACTCACCATCGCTTTATAATCAGACAACCTGCACAAGGTCATTTGAAGATTGTTATTGGTCATACATATGACTTCAAAGAAATATGTATGAATATGCGCTGAAGACGGCATCATCTTAGTCCTTGGTAACATGAACAGTCAAACCCCATCATTCCTCCGAAGCCAGCAGGCTGGTACCAGAGCTATTCAATCTGATTTCCCTTGAGCTGACCGAAACGTAGTCCGAGGCAAACTCGACTCGCACAGCGCCCTATGCGGGGAAAAGGCAAAGAAAAGATCTCTTAGATAATGATTCGATAATCCAGGAGGTGTTCTGAATCAAGAATTACAAACATATCGTTTGGATGATGATGAGAACGATAGCATCCTGTAGCAAAATTTTCGGTTAGGTAAGTGGAGAGGGGGTAATGAAGTTCAGACTTTCTGTATGGCGTTAGCAATGACGTTCTTATATAAGCAACTCAAAAGACTGCCTGTTGAAATTCGCTCGAGATGATCCCCTAAATAGGCGAACATACGTAACCTATCAACGCGGGGGTGTACAAAAATTTTGTATTTCTTCCCGATTCTTCAATAACGAGCCTGGTTCGTTCTGAGAATATGAGCACACAAGGAAAATCGCATTCGATCACCTCCCAGAGACCAAAGCAAGAACGTCTGGTAAGCCCCGCAGAACTCTTCCCACAAATTTCATGGATCTTCCACATCTGCTAGCGCATTCTTAATTCAAGATACATACCTTTCTATGATGTCTCGCTCACGAGCACGGATTTTGTCGCTCTCGTGGTACCTCTCATTGCATAAATCAGCACACATTGATGTAAGCAACTTGAAGCGATCTTCCTGAACAGCTTCATCTGAAGACAAGCCGCGAAGAAAACTGAAATTCGAATTAATCAACTAACCCTTGCTAGGATGTCGTTTGCGATGGCTTGTTGCTTCTTGAGCGACTTCTCCACCTCAGCGGCGGTTCTTCCGTGATCCATTTCTTCAAGGACTGCCTGCACGTTTCTGAGCCAGCTCTAGAACATTCATGCCATCATTTCAAAATAAGGTTCTAAAGAGAATAAACGGCACATACCTCTCGTAGATTTGCTTTTTTGTGGAAACGCTGTGCTAATTGTTCCAGTCGTTCTTGTCTGAGAAAGAACGAATTTATTCAACACGAACTAGACCTGAAGAAAAGTCATCGATAAAATTCTCACCTTTGCAGCTCGGCAATTATTGCAACTTGACGATCGTTCTCAGCTCGATCCAGCTTTTCCCAAGCTGATTCGACGTCATACATAAACAGGCCTGAAATTCAGTTTGGAAGAAGAACCCCATGGACCGTAATAGAACGAACAACCTTGAGGTGGAGCGTACTGCTTCCTTCCCATAGCCTTTCTCTTAGTTTGGATTGTGAAGAAAAGA